TGCTGCAAACTGAGGAATATACCAGTTTCGATAAAGGATTCAATTCCAAATAATGACGCGTGCTATTTAAAAATAAACGGTTATAAAACATGTATATTTTTGTTTAATGAGTGTTTGTGACAAGTTTCTTAATTTATATCCAACATATTTTTAAAGGGTAAAGGATTTTTTGGTATATTGCCTTTGTTCTTCCCAGGAATACTTGCCAAATTCCTACTCTGTTGTATCTTTTTTCATGTTTTTGGGATGGGGATACATGCTTTACTGCCCCAGTGCTTTTCTACTTGATATGTACCTACTGTAGATCCTAGTTTACAAGTAGTTGCAGCTCGGTTGGAAGCGCGGGCTTTACGTAAAGGGAGCACTTACCTGATTCCCTCACCTTACACAAACCTACTGAGTTTTTCCAAATTAAATCACCATTCATCCAAAGACATGTTCATTTTCGGTGATGCGAAACTTTCTTTCGACAATCGAATTTCGCTCTCGACGGTTTAAAAAAAACCAGTTGCAACTGGTTTTCAAGGTTGAATGCGTTTATGCATGCTTGCACGGTAGTTAAATCTTCATTCAACATGCTAACCTCTTGCTTGTTTTTGTAGCCAGAAAATTACTTAGTCGAGTAATGGAAGCTTTATTGCTTATCGACATGCAAAAACTAGATTATAGTTTTATAAGCTTATGCCAGTGTCTTCTATGTATAGTCTTTTTTTTAAGGGGATTAAATCATCGAATGACTGCTCCCGCCTGGGTGAGGCGGGAGGGAGTGTCAGACTCTTACTGACTAAAAACCACCCCGTTCCTTCTCCTGCACGTCGAGCCGGAGCCCCGGTTACCCGTTAGGTTCTCCGCGACTCTATGTATAGTCTAGGTGTTACTCTAGAGTTCTATACTTATTTATATCTGTACCAAACTTTCAGATTTGTTCAACTGTTTTTGCGTGAAAGACATTGACATTGTTTTTGTTTGTTTAACAAAAAACGTTGCCCTAAACTAGGATTTTCTACTGTGCCGTGGGTGCGATTACAAACATACAAGTTCACATACACTTGACACCCAGACCCGGAACAACAATTTGTGCATTACACAGTTGCTCCGTGTGGGATCGAACTCGCGACACGTTGCTCGGCAGCCGTTTGCCCAGCCACCGCACTAACCGTGTTGTCAGATTAGCATTTATTGGAGGATCTAGTCGATTTTTATTGACTGACCAACTTTTTGATTCCGTTATTTGCATTGCCCAACTCTGTGTGGTCTTATAATCGCTTTTAGTATTTATGGTTCGTGCTAAAATCAACGCATAGGAGTCCAATTTTTGCAATGTTGTGCTAATAACTGCTAAAAACTTGGTGTAGGTACCTACAATTCGCATTTACTAAGTGTGTGTTTTTTTTTAATATTGACTATATTTTATACAAACGTAGTCGTACGTGCAACAAGAATAATTCACGATTGAAACCACAAAAATAATAAAAAATATTAAAAATGACTTCTATTATATCTGTGGTTTAAACTTTCAGAAGTTCGTTAAGCATCCGTCTAGCACCAGTTTGGCAGTGATTTGTGCTACATAGTAAAATATGGAAAATGTCTACCTAATTAAATTAAATAAAAAAAAAATAAAAAAAAATAAAAAGTGTTTATTGTAACAAAAACCTTAGACACACAGTTTATGAATACTAACATCTAAACTAGGCCGAGCCTGTACCTTAGATGTTAGTTCCTTCCAATTGATACAATAAATTACTTACAATTTATAGTTTGTAATGTTTTATAATACCATTGATATCTAATGCACGAGTATGACAATACAATAAAACAACCTTGAGAGACAGGAGGGTACCTAATAAAAACATACTGTACACAATATCAAACTTTTTATGAATTACCCGCACAGAATGAATTCACTTTAGTATAGTCAAACCACTAAAACAATGAACTTAAGTAATAATATTATGTATATATTTTTATAACTTTATTATTTTATTTATTTATGTGTAAAGTGTAGTGTAAGGTGGTGTATGCATCAGTGTGATTAATGTTGATAAGAATTTAAGTTTTATTTATATACATATTATAAATAGCGATTATTGAAGATTGTTTCTTTTTCCCGCAAATTGAATTGAAATTTTTACCTTTGATAGGTATAAAAATATTTTTTTTCTTACAATTACTTCTTATCATTGTACATCTATGCGTTATCGGAAGCTCCTCATTTCTATAATCAATGTCTAAGCCACGGTTATCGGTTATTATTACCTATCTGACTATCTGTCAGTGCCCCATGTGTTTGCATACACTATGCACTTGTATTGCACTAATGCACTTTAAATATTTTTTTTAATTTCCACACTCAACAATAGGGTAGTTTCCTAAATTTTATTTTAATGTCCGTCTGATACATTAATTTAAAACATTAGACATGTATTTTTTTGTTTTCTCTCAAAATTTGAAATATCGTGTGACGTCACAGCGTGTCACATTTTGTAGCACGTTATGACGTAACGACCTCCCACTCCTAACGTTAGCGCCATTTTATCTAAGTATTGCAACTTAATACGAGAAAGTAAAAAAAAAATCGTGTCTAATTTTTTTTATTATCTAACTAACGGACTAGGTAATTGGATTTTTAATTTTGATACCCTGGAAACTACCCAATTATTCTATACTCCACAAAGTAGGTATTCATACCGCTTATGACGACTTAAAGACTCGACTCGACGTCTTCATTTAAAATTTTAACTAAATACACCAAAAGTATTTGACTTTGTACTTAGATATAATAATTTATTTATTTCTCTCATCATCATTTACAAAATAAAATACAGTAAACGTTTTACAACTAAACCTGAGACTGGTGTCTGTTGTAGGTGAACCCTATATCACAGATCACCAGGCCATATCCTACTGACGCGATACAATTATTTACTGAATTCTAATCTAATAATAATAATAAAATATATGAAAATTTGTTACTGAGATCGAAATAATACTGTTACATAAGTAGTACGTGCACAAACATTAAGGTTAAGGTGTTATTATTACAACCATCAGGTACGTACAACAATTAAAGCACAATATCAAAGAACATATATGACTAAACTAATAAAAAAAAATCATGAATTATTTTCAGTGGGTATACAGAAAATCGGTCAGGGAAACGTCTGTGTACCTACTCTGTGCTACTTATTATTCATCGTTGTTTATTAAAAAAGTCACAAAAACGTTAATGACCCTGTACTGTATTATATTTTGTAACTTCTGCACTGCGTATAATGCAAATAGAGCATTAGTAACTTAGTAAAATAAGTTCGACGCCCTTGAAACAAATCATTTATACATATAAACATATTGAATAATAATCATTAAATTAGGAAATCGTTATAATTGCCACAGATAAGTAAAACAAATAAACATAGCTGTCATGTTAAGGCGGGAAACGATGCGCGACGCATGCGCTCTGCGTGCTCGGGTCACCGTGCCAATAGTGCATCGAAATAAACGCCATTTGAATACCAAACCTTAATATTACATCATTACAGTATACTTTAGAATAAGTGGCCGTTCGCAAGCAGACGGTTCATAGACGCTGATAAAACCCGGATGTCCCGCAATGATTGTAAAAAATAATGTCATTTATTTTCTGTGTCCAGTATCAACTATCACGTATCCTGTTGATATCGATTCTATTCGTGTATGATATTGAGTTCATTGTCGTTGATAAATAAAAGGGACTTGGGTATTGGACTTTAGTCTCTGGAGTTTTTTATCTGTGGTATCCAAACTGTTGTATATTTTTTAGGGACTGTGATTTAGTACGGCCTCTGGTGATTTTATCTCGAAGTTTAATCTTTAATAGGTTTAACTTAACCTTATGATTTAATAATTATCTTGTTAGGTCTAGATTAGTTACCTAGGTTAGTCTCTTTATCATTATTATTTTGTTCGTAATTTCCTTAACGTGCAATAATATTCTACTGAGTTTAGTTGTCAAAATATCAGCATTCAGCCATATATTGAAGAAAAATAATAATCGTCTTCGTACTTGACCGTTTTTTGTTGTTCAAAGAACTAGTAGGTAGTACTTTATGTCTAAAAAAAACTATGAAATTACAAGCCTATTGTAAAAACAAAGAATACCCGAATATAATATCCGAACAAATTGCTTGAGAACCTGCAAACGCACATCAATCTATGCCAAACTTTTTGATAGAATTCAAAACTTTATTTAAAAGCAATACGGTTGAAAAACGAACATGGAGAGACACGCTAGAGTACCTTGATGTGCTTTGTATGTACATTTATTTGCGATTATGGCAATTATTGGATTAGGCAAGGTCTTCTCGTTTCCTTGGAGTTATGCCTAAGTGTTGTAAAACAGCAATCTTTATTATTTTCTAAGAAATATTGTTAGATGGTCATGCAATAATATTAGCGCTTAATGCCACATTGATAGGTGTTTTTCGGAAGATTATCCTTGCAACCCAAACAAAGAAAGAAACAGTAATTTTCAGTTTTAATGATCTACCTTTTTTTTGAGGGGGGAATATCATCCAATGACTTCTCCCGCCCGGCGGTGAGGCGGGAGGGAGTGTCAGACTCTTACTGACTAAAAACCACCTCGTTCCTACTCATGCACTTCGAGCCAGATCCCCGGCAACCCGTTAAGTCTTCCGCGGTTCCGTATAATCACGTTGGTAAACGCGAGACATCGTCTAAAATAATTATTAACCTAAAATAAATATCTTTCAATATTAATGTTTTTGACAATCTTGTATTATTTTTTTGCACTAAGATTGCACACCAACACGAAATGTTCACCAATTACGCCCACTTGACAATCGTACTTACTTAAATGTTATTTTTCCACCCCACCAACGAGAGGGCTGGACAGTCTTATTAAATTCTTTGCATTTATTTAATTTTTTATCCACTTTCTTTATAGTAGGTATATATTAATATATCCTGATAAATAATATCTCCATTATCTTTGTCAACAGTGGAGTATGTGGACACAGAGTACAGTCTATGGCTGACGTGGTTCCTGATGCCGGTCATCGTCACCTTCTTACTGCCAGCCGTCATCATCGTCCTCATTTACATCAGTGCCATAATCTTCCATCTCTACCGGCTTTACAGGTGAGCTAATTTATTGAAATCTTAAACTTCTTATACTATTATATAAAGCGGAAGAGTTTGTTTTTTTGTTTGTTTGTTTGAACGCGCTAATCTCCGTAACTACAAGTCTGATTTGAATAATTATTTTTGTGTTGGAAAGCGCATTTATCGAGGATGGCTATAGGCTATAAAACATCACGCTACGACCAATAGGAGCTGAGCAGAGCGTGTGAAACCGTGTGGAAGTAGCTAGTATGTAATATGGGTGTGTGACTTATTCACTATACTATTCGAGACAATCTCTATAAGTTTCTAGTGTCACAGGGACACATTCATACACACACATGTTTAAGTATGAGAGAGCCATGCTTCGGCACGAATGGGCCGGCTCGACCGGAGTGATACCACGGCCGAGCAGAAAACCGACGTGAAGCAACGCTTACGTTGTGTTTCGTCGTGTGAGTGATGTTACCGGAGGCCCAATTACCTCCTCCCCTTCCCTAATCTCCCCAATCCCTGAATTTTCAACAATCCCCAAACTCTTAATCCCCAAAATTCCGGTAACGCACTTGTAACGCCAGGTATCCATGGGCGACTGATTGCTTACCATCAGGTGATCTGTCTGCTGGTTTACCGTCTTATCCCGTAAAAAAAAACATTCATGAGTAGCGTAAGGTTCTCTTCAGACTTTGCGATTAAAAATATACTTTTTAACGTCAGAGCAAAAATAAATCTATGTGTTATTATTATAGTCAGTTGGCTCTTAGAGGAGTTATTTGTTCGTTGGTTGAATTCTTATAGACAAGAACAAGAAAACTTGGTACTCAGTCGCTGCTCAGATTTTGATTTAAACTGTCAAACACCAAGCGGTCACCGGTGACCACAACCTATTGTTCTATAATTGTGTCTACAAAACCGGTACTCGACGAGTTAATCATCAATACTAATCAATAGAGAGATGAAGCTGGGAGAGCGTCAGCAAATCAAAATCACGAAATAGTGGCTTTCTGTTATACGCTTTTCTCTGTCTACCATTTTAAAGTCCAAAAGGTTAACTTGTATTTTTTATTCGTGAATAAATAGTTTACTAGATTTTCAAGTAACAACGAAGAAACATTACCTCAGCCTTTAAAGTTATATAAATGGAATAAAAACAGCTAAAGTTATCACAGAGCAGAGGTCTTTGCTTATAATGCTATAGAGACGAACGTTTAAACTGTGCCAATCAACAATCACTGTGATGCCGCATGAAACTACTTATAAAAACACAGATAATAAACATTTACCTTAATTATGTTGTCCTGATTAATATTGTAAAGCCGAAAATATGTTTGCGTTGTATTTGCTCAACTAATCTTCATAAACGTGGTATAAAATGATACATAAATATGGTTGGGTGTTCGGAGAATGTTACTTCGGTATAGGTTAACATTTACGTAGGCAAAGCCGCGGGTGAAAGGTAGTGTAGGTATAGAGGAATTATTCCTCTATACCTGTGTAGGTGTCGCGGAGAACCTAACGGGTAACCGGGGCTCCGGCTCGACGTGCAGGAGAAGGAACGGGGTGGTTTTTAGTCAGTCAGAGTCTGACACTCCCTCCCGCCTCACCCAGGCGGGAGCAGTCATTCAATGATTTTCCCCCCTTAAAAAAATGGTTGCCTGTAAAGTCGTTTTTACGGGCGAAGATTTTACGTGACAACGTCTTTTTCTCGGTAGAATATTTATTGATATGAATATAATTAAATTGCACAATAGGAACAAGGAATTGAATGAACTAGTGCTGCGCGCGCGGCAGACCGATCATAGTTGAGTGGGAGAGAGACGCAAGGCATTCGGCGGGCCTCTCTCTCGTTCGGTGACTCATCGTAACGTTACCGAGCGTTACACTTTTTCATAAGTGACTCCCAGCCGCAACCTAATTTAAGACGTTGTCACGTCAAAAAATACCTGTGTAGGTATAGCTAGTGTTCTTATATATTATTCTTATCTTATATATAATAGACTTCGCAAAAGAGAGAAGGTATAGCTAGTGTTAGCACTACATCTTATTTATCAGGTGTGTCCTGTAATTTATTATAAGCAAGACCAACTTACGCCCTGAATTAAAGGCAAAATATGGGACTCGATTCTAACCCAATACTTATCGAGATCGCATCTCACAAAAATCGAATAAAGCAACTTACTAATACCAAAACCTCCTTTCATATTTCTCACACATTTTTTTTTCTTTTTCATGAAGATCGATCTCATTTCGCTTACGGCCCTAATTTTTTACGAGTCCATAGTAATTTATATTAGGTACATTATCGCGTGCATCTTAAGAAAATTGCATAAGTATCTCGAAGCCGGCTTTCGAGCCAAAAATAAGTTTGCCCTTGAATTTAAATGAAAACTGGCTCCAAAATCTCGTTAGTCTTTTTGCCGTCCCATAATTCATAATTCAAAAAACACGTTTCACCAAAATTTGATGGTGTAATTCAGGGCTGTCAAAACTATATACCCTCGCGGGCTTATTAAATTTCTTACAAAAACTGGAGGAGCAGAAAAATATTTTCAGTTGTATATTGACACTAGCGGACCCGACAGACGTTGTCCTGTAATAATAGGTATAGATAAATAACCTAGAGACCGACTGCAGCGCCACCTGCCGGGCTGATTTGTGAATCTAAACCATTCCCAGATCCCCTAGAACATACACAAAAAATTTCATCAAAATCGGTCCAGTCGTTTGAGAGAAGTTCAGTGACATACACACTCACAGAAGAATTATATATATATTGACATTTGATATTGTATTCTTTACTCACAGACAACACTTTCGTATAAATCATACACTGTATTTTATTATTTTTGTTGCACATGATGAAGATGTTGAGATTAAAATGTGTCGCGGGCCACATGAAAACTAGCCACCTTTGTTTGGACAGCCCTAGTGTAAGTTAAGTACGAAGATTAAAATTGCACTTGACTGTGATTGGTACTTGATAATGTCTTTCTTTTCTTTGGACAGCTTTTTGCGTATGATTTATAATGGCTTGATGATGACATAATTTTATCATCATCAACAGGCCGTGAGAATTTGGCTGGACTATGAAGCTCTATAAGAGAAAGATCTGTCATCATCTTCAAGCTTGGGTTGGCAAGCAAGTTAGATGTCACAGTTTAAAAGGATCATGTTTCAAAAACCACTGGGGCTGCAGAGAAAAGCAAAGAGTTACCGTGATCAAAGATCTGGGTGGTTTTTAGTCAGTAAGAGTCTAACACTCCCTCTCGCCTCACTCAAGGCGGAAAGATACATTGAATGATTTTCTCCCCTCAAAAAAAAAAGTATCAAAGACCACTATTGCCCGGTTTCAGTTAAAAGTTATGTAGACCCTTTGCCGACGGATATAAGATACATAATTGTATACCATGCAAAGCTTGTTTACATCCCCACTCACTTGACAACAACTGAACACGAGTTCAACACGAGCTTCCTAATTAAAAAACAAGGTGACAGTAATAGTTCCTTGATAAAATCCAGCCAATGAGAGCGCGACTTTCATGATAAATAAATAATGTCGTAGACAATTGCCAGACAGTTTAATTAGACTTTTAATTAATATAAAAATCATTGCCTTTTTTATCATTTTTATTGTAATTTACCTTTGGACGCTGTCCATCATGCGTTGGGATTGTGACCGGATCATCTTTATCTTCCTGTTCTTATTTCAAGCTACTTCCATTCTCCCCTATGAAACGCTTTCTTCTTCCTATCACAAACCCCGTTTTCTTTCATTTCTGACACATTTTTTTTTGTAGGAAATGAAAGAGGTAGGAAAATCATCGAATGGCTGCTTTCGCCTGTGTGAGGCGGGAGAGAGTGTCAGACTATTACTGACTAAAAACCACCCCGTTCCTTCTCCTGCACGTCCACGTTAGGTTTTCCGCGACATTTCTGACACAATGCATCCATCTTTTCTGTCAATGAAATTTAAAGCAAAATGTTTCTTTTATAAATAAACTACGTTTAACTCGTCGAGTACCGGTTTTGTAGACACAATTATAGAACAATAGGTTGCGGTCACCGGTGACCGCTTGCTTGGTGTTTGACAGTTTAAAATAACCGTCTTCACACCCCGATTTTTATTTGAAGTCGGTTGAACAATCTTCTCCTATGTGTAACAAATACTTTTCTGAAAATCGCTTCAGTTAATCCCAAGATAACTGCGCACACACACACAAACACACACACACTTTCAGGTCATACTACAAACCTCCTTTTTTGGAAATCGTTTTAAAAAGGTTGAGGTTACCGGAGGCCTTAAGGTATTCGAAACGAGTACTCATTCGGCGCTCTGATTGGTTGGTTTATTGGTGCCGGCCAATCAGAGTGCCGAACGCATGCTCGTTTCGAATACTTTAAACGTAAATCAAACTCGTACTAAGGCCTCCTGATCCCTCTATCCGCACAATGGCCAATGTTGCATTTGTAGTTCTAACTCCTCTTGTGTTGCGGGAATTCTTGTGCGGTACTGATCACTTACCATCAGGTGACCTTCACGTTTGTCTCCAATTTCAACAAAATAAAATACACTGCGGTCATGATTGTGTTATGAAAATTGTGCAGTTGATTCTGTTAAAATGTCGACTATTTACTGTCGAGAATGAATTCTCCATCGCGTAGGTAATCATGTAATTGTCATATTTGAATATAATATAAAGAACTCTGAACTTTTACAATATTTTCGGCAAATGGTGACAAATAGGGTAATTCATTAGCATCTGTAATTCTGTAAGATTTCAGAAGTACCTAATTTTTTTTTCGTATTCATTGGGTAATGTCATTTAGCATTTAACCACAGTATATAGACTGTGATGTAACTAAGGTTTAACTTTAGTTTGAGTCACATAAAAACAATAATATTGTTATTAATTTGTCAGTCTTGTCCATAATCACATTGACTTATCACTTTTTAAGTTAGGCTTTAGTTTACTTTTATCGGATAGAGTGGCAAACGAGCAGACGGATAACCTGGTGGCAAGAAATCGGCGCCGGCACATCACCAGAAGCACAAGTTTCTTTTTGCGGATTGTAAATCATCCAATGACTTCTCCCGCCTGGGTAAGGCGAGAGGGAGTGTCAGACTCTTACTGACTAAAAACCACCCCGTTCCTACTCCTGCACTTTGAGATGGAGCCCTGGCAACCCGTTAAGTCTTCCGCGGCTCCGTATCAGCCCTGTTGTGCCCCATCTGTGGCGGTCGGATGACTCCTTGAGGTGCGTGCCATGCCGTCCGCAGGCTGGAGATCGTCTCGCGATCCCCGACGCCCTGAGTATCTCGCGATGACTGGGGCGTGAGGGTTCGTTCCCTAGCATGACTGCTTCGCAGAAGAAGAGAAACCCAAGTTTAGCACTGGGGGAAGTAACTGGGCTTCCGAGATCTCACTTATAAGGCTAAACACAACTCTGAATGTTGAACGCCGATTCTCTGTGAGTCCGTGTATCACTCCATTCGAGCCGACCCATTCATTGGCGTCAGTAGCTAGTTCTAATTCATTATGTTTTGTTGTTTTTAGGATGAACGTGGTGGACGGCGTACAACCGGACTGGAAGCATGCAGCACGACTCGCCGTGTGCGCGCTGTGGGACGCACACGGCTGGTTGTGGCATGGTGAGTGATAAAGCAAATTTTTAATTAGTTCAACAGATTATAATTATTCCTATTTTATTTTTTATTTATTTATTTACCTCTAAGTTTTATACAATTGCATAAGGAAGACTTCACAGCGTTCTCTGCCAGCCATGTTACCCGATTCTAATCATCCCAGTATTTTTTTTTTAAATTAAAAATATACCATTTTTAGGTAAAATATAATAACCTTACACATAGAAAACAATTATTGGATGTGATATATGTATACTCTACATTACCACATATAAATTATTTTAATCGATTCTGCGTTTTTTCTCCATACATTTTTTTAGACATTGTCCTTTTATTTATACATTTTCCGCAGGTTACGACATAAAAGGTCTGGAGAACATACCGGATGGTCCGTTCTTAGTGATCTACTACCACGGAGCTCTGCCCATAGACATGTACTACTTCATCGCCCGAATGTTACTCTTCAAGCGACGGCATATACATACTGTGGCCGACCGGTTCATGTTTAAGATACCTGGTTTGTATTTATTTGTTCATTAACATAACATAACATCACGCCTTTTACCCCCGAAGGGGTAGGCAGAGGTGCACGTTACGGCACTTAATGCCACTGTACAATGTAACACCCACTTTTCACTATTTATGTTATGAGTCCCATGTAATAGGGAGTGAGCCTATTGCCATATACCGAGCACAATTCCAGACTCCGTGCTACTACTGAGGTTTTTTTTAAAAACGCAGTAATACTATTTGCTCGACCCGGGAATCGAACCCGAGACCCCTTGCCAGTTGTACTTGCGACCACTCAGCCGACGAATAAATGATCATCGTATTCATCAGCCAAAAGACATCCACTGCTGGATCAAACCCTCCCCCCCCCCCCTTAGATCTTATCTTACCTTTCAATACCTTCCTTTTCTAGGTTGGGCGACACTCCTAGAAGGCCTATGCGTAATTCCGGGCACGGTGCAGACGTGTGCATCAGTGTTGCGTAATGGCAATCCCCTGGCGATATCACCTGGTGGTGTGTACGAGGCACAGTTTGGGGACCACTACTATAGACTCAACTGGAGGAACAGGATCGGATTCGCTAAAGTCGCTCAGGAAGCTAAAGTGGTGAGTGCATCAAAGTCAAAAGTATAATCAGTGCCTTCTTCTTCTATGACTGATAACGAACTTGTGAATTCTCTCGTGATGCGGGTAATGTGCGGCGTTGGTCGCTTATCTTAGAAAAAACGTAGATCAGAGACGGCGTATCTGTACGTATTGACTGCACCTAGCTTCACATACAATTTAATTGGTTACTTTCCTTAATTAAAAATAAATTATGTCGACTGCACAATACAATAAAATATTAAAAAATAAGCACACTTTCTTTAATTGATTTTATGAACTGTTCGATTTTAGTATTTTTCCAGAAAAAAATTAAGAAATAAGTATGCTGTTTGACGCTAAGAAAACGTGACGTCACAATTCACAATCTCGTAAAAAAATCATAGAAAACTGTCGTTTTTGACAGTTCGAAAAATGTATTGAATTTGTATTGTTGGCAAGTACCGTATTTGACGGTTTAAAAGTGCCTAACGATTAATTGAAATTAGTTCTTTGACTTTGACTGTATCAACATGCATATAGCAGTCGGTTAAAAATGGTTTTTAACCGACTGCAAAAAGAAAAAACACGAAGGTTCTCAGTTTAACCTGTATGCATGTTGTTGTTGTTGTCCTGTATGTTGTGCGCAATTATCTCACGATCGGCTAAACCGATTTTAATACCGTTTTTAGAAAAGTGTATTTTACACTTAGCAGAAAGTGTTAGTGTACAAAATTATACGACTTCAAAAAAGAGAGAGAGTTGGAGTCGGTTTTTAAAATGTAGTTTATAAAATAATTATTTTTTAACTTTCTTGTATGGACATTAGTCTAAATTATTAAATGACATATCTAGGATAATAGAAACATGTCTTTAGAAACGGTTTGAATTTGAAACTAATGTTGTTGTTTGTTGTTTTTAGTAGAACGCATGCTGAAGTCGAGTCATTTATCTAACAGAGTCTTTGATGTGTTCCTCTTTAAAATAAACAACTTACATGCATTGTATTTGAATGAAACCTTGATGATCGTGATCTTCGGCGTTTCCTACCCAACCATTGCCAGTTTTTTTGCAAAAAACTTCAATATACTTCAATATGGAAAATAATAATGGTTCCGAAAAACAAATTAATCTCCAGCGATCTGTGGCCGACTATAAAAATGGATCTTCGAATAACAAAACTATACTTTCGAATAGAATATTGAACCTCCGACAAAATTACTAAGTTACCGACAACAGACGTTTTAGGTTAGGTTAGGTTAGTATTGTAGCAATAAACAGTCATGTAAAGTAGTCGGAAAGTTAGTATTTTAGTCAGTGGATTTAATATTTTCAGTAAGGACAATTCTTCTTTTCTTGTCGGAGCTTTTATTACTACCTCTTCAATATAACCTTTTGTCCACAGCCCATCATACCAATGTTCACGCAGAATGTTCGAGAAGCGTTCCGAACAGTCGGTTGGTTGCGAGGCGTTTGGCTGAAGATATATGCCACGTTCAGAATGCCACTCGCGCCAGTGTATGGCGGGTTCCCTGTCAAACTCATTACACATCTTGGCAAGCCCATTCCTTACGACCCTGAGCTGACGCCCGAACAATTACAACGAAAGGTAATTATTATTATTATTTTTTAAAGACATCAACCGTTTTCTTAACAGTTTTTTTAAACGTTGCCACACTAAATGATTTTCTCCTGTGTCGTGGGTGCGTTTACAAACATACAAGTTCACATAGTCATGACACCCTGACTTGAAACAACAATCTGTGGATCACACGAAGAGTTGTTGAATGCAGGACATGGAACCCGCGACATATTGTGCGGAAGCCAGTTGCCCAATCACCGCGCCAACAGTGCAATAAAAAAGTTTGTTCTAAAATTAAAAATCAAGTTTGTTAAGCAACTTCACGTGTTCCAATGTTGGAAGATGATGCGAGATGGTGGCTAAACGTCGACCTATTAAGTTTGAAAAAAAAATTTGCTTATATTTCAACTTAATTAATTTAATATGAAGTCCGACTACCGGGCAAGGGGTCTCGGATACGATTCTCGAGTCGGGATTTAAAAAAAAATCCCAGTAGGTAGCACGGAGTCTGGAATTGTGCCCGGTATATGGCAATAGGCTCACCTATTACATGGGACTCATAACATAAATAGTGAAAAGTGAGTGTTATATTGTACAGTGCAACTGCAATGCACCTCTTTCTAACCCTTCGGGGATGAAAGGCGTGATGTTAATTTAGTATGCGAGTATAGTATCTTTGTAACTAAAATAGTCAATTAAAGTACACTCCTATTGTTCTAAATACTTGTTATTCGTGGTAGCCCGGAGGTTTAAGACGCCCGCTTCTCATGCATGAGAGTGCGGGCTCGAAACCTTACCAACAGCAAGTACCGATGCGACATTTTCCGAGTTATATGTACTTTCCAAGATTATTTAGACACCACTGACAAACGGTGAAGGAAAACATCGTGAGGAAATCTGGATTTATAATTTCTAAGTTTGTAATCGCCAATGCGGGTGCATTGAGCAAGCGTGGTGATTAATGCTCAAAACTTCTCCGTGTGAGAAGTCTTTGGTCACTTTATAGGCTATTGATATGATGTTGTGTGTACTTTTTTGTAATTAATGTTCCTTATACAGGTCGCCCACGCGATAGAGGAATTAGTGGAAGAACACCAGAGGATTCCCGGCAGTATCCTCCAAGCCCTCTTAGAGAGGGTGCACGAAATCCCCAAGAGGAGGAAAGACCCTCCCCTCACCAATGGGAAGTGTCAAAATGGCTCCCTTAAATTAGAAGACAGTGACAAAAGTGCTAGTGGCAAGTCGAAAGTTTCATAAACTGAATTAAAATTTTTAGTGACTGATTGAATAAATCTTTAAATAAGTAATTTTTGTGACTAAAACGCCTAAACGGCTGAATGTATTTGGACAAAATTTCCCATTTTGTATAGAAGTGAGTCGAAGTTAGCTGTTGATATTTTACTTCGTTACAAGTCGCTGCGGAGAAGTGACTGTCGCTAGCCTGCTTTTTGCCTTTAACAGTTTTCTGTCGGCTGTCAAAAGGTGATGAGTTGTGATTTGAATTTGACTAGATTTCGGTAAGTTTTTGAACTTAATCCAGTTTTTTTTTCGAGTCGAAATTTTTTAAAACTGAAAAATTTTTGGTGGAATTTGGACTAACTAATTACGTTTCTCGTATATTGTATTTTAGTGAATGGAGCGCGAACCCTATTACATAATTACTGTAAAGTTGAAAAATGGCTTTATTGGTCATTTATAAATAATGGTGTTTGCAACTCTCGTGAGACATCTTAAATATTAAATTATTTATATTTTGCGTCTTACTCACGTAACTGTTTATCTCGACATTTATAATATACTAGCGGACCCGACAGACATTGTCCTGCATATCCACTTGAATGTATAAACAAAAATTCATTCTAATTACTTAACCTAGACTCCGACTGCAGCGCCATCTGCCGGGCTAATTTGTGAATCTAAACCATCCAGAGCGCAACTCAAACGCGTATGGAAAAGTTCATTTAAATCTGTCAAGCCATTTAGGAGTTCAATGACATATACACGTACGGCAGAATTATATATATAAAGATAAAGAGTTATGTGAAAACCGTAAAATATAATTAAATTGTGTTTGCGATAATATGTATTGTAAAATATTGTTTGTATGTGTTGAAATGTAAATACTCAATATAATAATTATGATTACTGTACATAGATGGCTTATAATGATAGAGTGGTCACGAGTAGTAAGGTCTCGATTTCAATTCTCAGGTCGGGCAAAGTATGATTGGGAATATCAATTTTTTTTATTGATAAATGATACATTGACATACGTCGAGTGATTGTAAGGTCTTGGATTTGTTTTCTGGACTGGGCTTACTAAGATTTCTGAGTTGGGAGTCCAGAAATAATAATATATAAGCCTTCTTGTACAGGATTTTCGTAATAATATTCGCATGACTGCTTCCAAAATATTATGTTATTTTAATTTTGTACCTTCTACCCTTAATTATAGCATTTAAATTGGACTAACAAAGGTATAGAGGTCCTTTTTTATATAGGTAGTCTTTGTATATATCATGTTTTTAGTTATAAATATTGGCCTAGCGAGTTGTAATAAAATAATCTCCTTCATTAGAAGCGTATCTATATTATGATATAGATGGATATATTATATAGAATGCATTAACTATTTAAATATATATAAAGTAAAAAATAAACGATAGTTTAGAACAAAAAAACAAAAATCGTTTAGAACATACTTTTTGTGTCCAATCGAAAAGAAATTATGATTGCATTCCTGTTATTTACTTAGTTTTGTACGTTTTAGCGTTTTATCGAATTTAAAAATTAAGTATTTGTAATGCTTTCTTTATATATAACTATAATATAATGTAATGTCGTACATAAAGTTACTTGAATGTGATAAACAAGAAATTGGAATTCCAAATTCTTTGCTAGAATAATATATCGACGTCAAATGTTGTCTCCTCTCTTTTTATTACCGTATGATAGAAAGAGATGACTGTATACAGCGTGAATTTTAAATAACTTGTTACCCGTGGCGTAATGATTTGCCCTCTGGTAGGACGATCACAATGTTCTTGAAAGTCCTATAGTGTTGAAGGTGTCCATGGGCGCCACTGATCGCTTACCATCAGGTGATCTATCTGCTCGTTTGCCCTCTATTCAGTGTCAAATATCAACGCCTAAATACTGAAATGCTACTCAATTTAAGTAACACTTAAATATTGCGCTACTTGTGTCTTATTGTTGAATTTTTCTAAACGCTTCTTCAAATTGAGTGGCGTTTGAGTATTAGATAAGGAAAGAAAAACCGAGTAAATGGTTTTGTGTACAATATCAGTTGATTGACAAGCGCGAGGGCAACGACCTTATGACAAATCGAGTCGCCTCACCAATTTACGAATTACTAATGGTTTGAAGTCGCTTTCGAGTTTCTTTTTCACTATTATTGTCATTTTTAATATGAAAGATAATAATATAGATCGATAGTACTACGAAGACAAAATCTTTTAGCTACGGGAGATAAGTCATGTAAAATTCACTCTGTATATTAAAAATGTGCTTAACCTATTTTATTAGCATTTCGAATTTCCATTATTATTGTTGTATTTGAATTTGACCGCGATACAAATTTAGCATTTTTAGTGTAGATAACATTTTAGTTAGGTTCTGTTTAAGAGCTCTTTCATTAATTTGGTCACCATGGCCGTAGGACCTGGTTGCGCAACCAACAATATGTTTACAGTTGTATGGTGGGTATCTGACCTACACTTGAGCCAAGATCGATGTCAAATGTTTGAAATACCAGCAATATATTGACTACACTGTTGGCCGAATGGTCGCAAGTGCGACTGCCGGGCAAGGGGTCTCGGGTTCTATTCCCGGGTCGGGCAAAGTATTACTGGGTTTTTCGAAAAAATCTCAGTAGTAGCACGGAGTCTGGAATTGTGTCCGGTATATGGTAATAGGCTCACCCCTTATTACATGGGACTCATAACATAAATAGTGAAAAGTGGGTGTTGCATTGTACAGTGGCATAATGTGCACCTCTGCCTACCCCTTTGAGGGTAACAGGCGTGATGTTATGTTATTGACTACACGTAAGACTACACTCTGACCACAATAAAAACACTTCTGTGCTTCAGAAGTGTCATAATAATGTGATAGAGAGGGTGAGTGTTACTGAACGGGAAGGTGTTGAAATGAGAGTGCTCCAACCCTTACAATTTCTTTACAAATATTTTATATCAGTCTTGGCTTCGCATAAGTATAATATCGAATTAATTGTTGGTGACTTTGTTTTGGTGTCTTAGTCAACAATACGGTTGCGTGACCTTGTCGTACGTCCACAGTGTTCTAATGAAATAGGGCCATAATAGTTTTTAGTCACAATGAAAAAAATATACTAGGGAATAGACAAACAGGCTTTCTATAAGTCGCGGCGAACCTAACGGGTAACCGGGGCTCCGGCTCGATGCGCAGGAGAAGGAACGGGGCGGTTTTTAGTCAGTGATAGTCTGATACTCCCTCCCGCCTCACCCAGGCGGGAGCGGTCATTCGATGATTTTCCCCCCTTAAACAACAAAGGCTTTCTATAAAACGTATGTTTAGAAGATAAAAAAAGGGAATTACTGAGAACCCTAGCTCAATCTTAAGGCCAGCAAAGCATTTGTAACACCTTTGGTGCTGCGGGTGCCGATGGCTTACCATCAAGTGATCCTTCTCATGATCATCAACAGTCGGAAGACGTCCACAGCTGGAAAGCCCTCCCCCCTATACCTCCACGACGAACGACAACTCACCACCTGCATCTACTGACTCTGCTATCGCAAAGAATTTACACTTTCCATAAGGTCGATATTTGAATAGCAAATGATTCTCGCCTGATTGTCTATTTCATAGTTTATCCTTAGTATAATTTAGTGAGATTTTTTCGAATTTCGAATGAATGTTAAAATTAAATAAATATCTTATGTCAAGTCTGAATCAGTGTCATCTAATTATAGGCCGATCGTGTAATAGATTAAAATATTAATAATAATTATGTAATACAATGCAATTTACAATCGTATTCCTTATGGCGTTAGGTTCAAATTTCTAAATGGGATGTTGTAATACTGTTAAATTAATATTGTATAAAACAAATAATTTTTAATTAATTTAATTCTTTTTATAAGTTTCGTATTTTGAACTAACGATAGAAATGATGAGTTAGAGCTTTGCCAATTGATTTTGAGTCTTATTGTTAATAATATAAGAAAGGCATTGCCTTCATTATTTTTTGCTTTTACTCCTTATTGGTAAAGTAATAAAGATCGAAATCGACTGGCATATCTGTAAATTTTGTTTCTCAATTATCATTTGAACACCTAATGATCTTGCAGTTCAACTCTTATTTAGGAAACTTATTTTTGTATCTTATTTAAATTGTGATAAAGTTAACTTTTGATTTAGCAAATTAACGAATAATTGAATTCATTGATAAATTTAACTTTAATCCTTATTTCTATGTAAATAAGGGTGATTTTCATAAATCAAGATTCTCCTTGGAAATGTATGTATGTATTAGTGCCACAGTTTTATACCAAAACTCTATGTAGACTGCTAGCGTGTTTGTATTCTTTATATACTTAATTCGGAAACAAATACTTAATATATAAGGAGATATTTTATAATATATGTGTTTTATTTTACCTCCATCGAGATTTTTTTTGGACTACGTGAAGCGGGACATGTACCTATGTACTATTGATTCCTTACAGTAAGTATTTTACAACTACATAGTCAAATTCAATAGTTATAAAATGTTAAAAACGGTAATTTATTTATTTTTATTTAACAAAAGTACAATTTTAGGATTAACATTTTGTTCTTTAACGTTATCGGCGAAAAGCGCTCATTTCTTATTCTTACTAGCTAATTAAGTACTTTATATAATATTAAAAGAAAACTGGAATAAAAACAAAAATAAAAAATACACATTATAAAGGATATAAATTAAAGAATGCATTGCCTATGCTCTCTTAACCAATTCTCCCCTTAGCCTCTTCTTCAACATTAACAAACTCACTTTGTCTAACAATACAACGTTGCTACCATCCGAACGTGAATGGGTGCCTTCTGAAAATCATTGCTGGGTGACTTGTATGCCTGGCTTACACTGAGTGGGTGACCCTTTTAGCATAGGCATGTTGTCAGCGTCTCTCTTCAAATTCTTCTGTTTAATATTTCAACTCAATGTTTTTATTACTTCCACACCTTTATTGTCTTTTTTATATTTTATTTATGCTTAATCGTGGCTGGTGCTGAATAAATGTTTTTTCTTTCTCACATTGATCAGTGCATGTATGATTAACAACGGATCTATCCGACAGGCATCCGTCGGGCAGATCCGGGTGTGTAGCAAGTTACGTTAATGTTTTTGCGTCAAATGGCATATTTACTACCTCGTTGACCGAGTGGTCCCACGTGCGACTACCGGCCGGTATCGGGTTGGATTTCCGGGTCGGGCAGAGTATTACAGGATTTTTTTTTTAAATCTTAGTAGTACCACGAAGTTTGGAATTGTGCCTGGTATATGGTAATAAGCTCACCCCTATTACATGGGACTCATAACATAAATAGTGAAAAATGGGTATTACTTCTGTGTGCACCTCTGCCTACCCCTTTGGGGATAAAAGGCGTGATGTTATGTTATGGACGAAAGAAAATGCCCAAACAACGATAACAGCACCAACCACATGTTAGCATCAACCCATATTAAAAAAAAATCGTTTCCCCACTCTAGGATAATCTCCT